TCTGCTCTGGGCTCTTTCCTGTTTCTTTGAACCTTCCCCCGCCTTGACTCCCAAGTGGGGTAGGATGGACTGGATTTCAGGCAAAAGGACAAGGGGAGGTTCACTTCCCCTGGGGTGACTCTGGGCCACTTTCCAGCCAGGGGATCGTGGGCAAGTGACATTGCTGCTTGAAGCACCAGTTTCCTCATCTGTAAAATGGTGCTGACACCTGCCCCAAAGCATGTGTGGGATTAAATAACACTCTTCCCCTATCTCCCAGCCACACGTGGACTGGGCCATGCAGGGGCGGGGCCAGTTTGGGAAAACAGCCTGTGTTCTCTCTCTGCTGGGTGGAAGCCCTGACAAGCCCCGGTTTAGTGCCTGTCACCAAGGCCACAGGCCCCAACCAGCTTTGGACTTCCTGACCTGGGCCTCTGAGCTGCAGGCCCCCCTCGGCATAAATCTGTCATCCCCTCTGACCTGATACGTGCACAGGACTCTGGGGCGTCTGAAGGTCTTGAACTTAATGGCTCACTATAGCACGGCAGTCTTAGTCGCAGTTTTGAGAACGAGGAAACTGAGGCTCACAGGGTGACATGACTCATCGAAGTCACAGGCAGGAGTGATGCCCAAAACGTTTAACCACGGGGGCTACAGGATTATGCAACCAGAACAGACAGGCTGGTGTGCTGGACCGGTGTGGACCAGCTGAATATCAGGGCCGATCATTCAGTCATTCAACAAACACCCGTGAGCAGCTGCTATGGGCCCGGCAGGCCCGGGCACACAGAAATGGCCCGGACAAGCCCTGACTTCAAGAAACACACTGCCCAGAGAATGTGGGCCTGGAATCCCCAGCCTAGCTGTAGAGCTTGGACAAGCATTCCTGGTGCTCTTGGAGCCTCATCTATAAAATGGGGACAATACTTATGACCTCCTCACCAGATCATGGTGAGGATTCGAGGGTCTAGACAGCCTGGACCAGAAAACCATTACAATGGCGATACAAGTCGCTTGAGGGGTCTTGGCAAGTCTGGGCCTCTCCTGAGTCCGGCGAGGGGGCTGCTGCTGCCGCTCATCCCCTGAAGCACAGAGGGACACCCTCCAAAGAGCTGGCGCCATAAGGTGTTTATTCACACGTTTCAAAGGGACAGGTTTACACCCCATCCCCAACAATTACTGAAATAACAAACACAGCACTAACTGTATTCTACTAGTCAACTATCAGGACACCCACCACCAAGACCACTTAGCAAATAAAGAGAACACAGGACACCTTGTCCCTGAGATACCCCATCCCAGAGATGGGCCACCTGTGTTGTCATAAACACACGGGGCAGAAGTGCAACCAAGTCAAAAGAGCCAGAGGTTCTTGGTTTTTACAGAAGCCGTGATTTTACATATAGTACATATAGATTCATATAAACATTATATACACGTATGCACACAAATTAAGTACAAGCCAGCTTGGGGTTCTGGCAAACGTGGCTCGTGAACAGGATTGAAACAAACATTTGTCACAAAGCACAGGTGTCAGCACCGAAACTGGAACTGCCAACGTCTTGGTGAAATCACTGTGGGAGAAGCTTTTCGAAAGAGAAAGCAAGCTTCAAAGAAGTGGGATCCACACCCAGCCCCAGAAGCCGAGGCTGGTCTGGCTGTGGGAAAGAGACAGTCCCTCCAAGTCGCCAGGTCATGGGTAACTCTGGAAGTAGAGGGGAGATGCAACCATTTCTGGAAAAGGGCCCAGGTGGTCTGGGTGGGGCCTGGTGGTCGGAGCCAGAAGGAAAAGGGCCCGGGTGCTTCCATGCCAACAGTCGGCTCTCCAGTAAACAGCATGTGGGTGGAGGGCCATTCCAAGATCACACTGGCAAGGCTGTGCAGAGAAGGGGCAGAGGCACAGAGCCTTGCTCACGGAGGGTAGGACCGACAGGAGAACCGCCTGTCTGGAGGCCTCGGCCGCAGCATCTCACGCTCAGGCCCTGGCACGGGCAGGGCGGTGTGTGCGGCATCAGGGCGTGGCCAGGCTCACGGAGGAGGCCAGAACCTTCGTCAAGGGTGGATGCACTCCTCTACCTCGTGGTAAGCCACGTGCAGGGGCCGTGCTCCTTCAGGACAGCCAGCATGCCGCTCAAGGTCTCTCGAGCTCAGGGGCCCTTGAGCCATGGCCCGGGAAGGGAGACGAGCTGTCGGGGATCCCGCTGGGTGAAGGGTCAGTTTCTAGCGGGGAGAGGGGAGGGCAGATGCAAACCCCAGGGACACCAGTGAAGCCATTCAATGGTTCTGTGTGGCCAGCGGCCTGCGAGTCCCTGAGCTGAGGACCAGTCTTCCAGCAAGGACAGGGCGCCGCAGTGTCCCTCGGTCCTAGAGGGGCCGCAGGGCAGACAACAGCTGCTCTTCCCAGTTGGCTTAAAGGATGGCTTCCTGCCAGGGTCCTTCAACCTTCCATACAGCGCACTTGGCAGTCCTCTGGGTAAAGAGGAATCCTTTCTCAAGGTTGTTTTCTCCCTCACTGATGGCATTAACTCAGACAATGCCCCATATAAACTCCCCGGGGACTCCAGCTGCCTGCGTCCGTCTCCTGCAGGTGACGCTGCAGGATCTCTGGTCCAGCCCGACCCACCCCGCGCTGCAAAACCATGCTGCCAAGGGCAACCGCCCCACCCCCCACGCTCTCGTGGGGATACTCAGTTGGGGCTGAGTGCTTGTGGAACCACATCATGATATAACCTGCAAGCAGAACCCGGCCCGCAGGGCAGAGACCTTGCAAGTGACCCTCGGAACCTACCCAAGGCCTCAGGCAAAACGTGGCCCCGCCACTTGCTCCTGGAGCCCTTCGGCAGCCCCAGCCACTGACCACCGCCCAGATGCCGCAGGGCACGGCCCCCAGCAGGCCCACCAACTGGCAAAACAGCTCGCGGAGGGGAGTCCCAACGGCCCCCGGGATGCCAGCAGGGCCGGCCGCAGACACCACACGACACCGCAGCAGGCCCTCCGCACGGACCCTCGAAGGTGCTGAGGGTGGCCGGAGGCGGCGGCGCCAAGCCCTGGGGAAGAAGAGACCGCAGAGGCCGAGGGCCTTGAGGGGGGTCTGTCTTCCCCTGATGCGGAAGCCCCCGGGCCAGGGACACGGAGACCTAAGAGGACACCGACTCCATGGCCGGTGTCCTGGGACCCGGTCAGCGTGCATCAGGTGACACTGAGGATGGGGGTCGCTTGGTGAGACCTCATTGCTGCTCACAACCCCCTACCCGTCTACGCTCCCCGACACAGCTCCCTCCACCCCTGCAGAGACGCTGGGCCGGGGGAGAGGCCCGCACATGCCCTCGAGAGTGGCCAGTCCCTTCCCCACCACCCACCAAGCAGCTCCTGGGCCTTTATGAAGCCTAACCCCGCCCCTCGGTTTCCCCACCCTGCTGGCCGCCCGCATCGAGGCTGGCGGAGAGTGCCACGTCACTGCAAAACAGTTACTTGATATCTGGGCCCTGGACACTAACGTGTGAGACCCGGAGGGGAGGCATCGATTAAACAGGACACGACGTGGCCAGGGGCCCCGCCCGGCACCGGGTCACCCTGCACTCCCGACCTGTCCTGACTCGGTTCAGGACTGGAATTTTACTCAAAAAGGCAAAGCTGTTTTATTAAAAGACTGGAGGAGGGCATAGGCCTTTAGCAACATTTTGTAAACACGTGTGAAATGCAGTTTGATTTCAGTAGTTTATTTTGGAGACAAAGCAGTGCAAGAGGCCGGCCACTCTTTCCTGCTCCCCCGGCGCTTGGGGTTAGGCTAGGAAAGGCGACGTACAGACATTATAATCAGGGTTCAACACTCAAGTCGTGTAAACACGGTGGTCGGAGGGCCCGCGGTTTCTAGGACAGCTGGGCACTTCTGACGGCACCCGCCCTCCCCCCAGCCCTTCCTTTCCCAAAGTGGGCGACTGCCACGTCCCTGCTGACCAGGCCTGAAGGTGTCTGAGCACCCAGCTCAGCGGCCGCTCTCAGTCCACCCTCCCTGGACCACGCAGGGCGGCCCAGAGGCCTGTTACTCTTCCTCAAGAGGGACTGAGAGCTGAAGACACAAGGCCATGCTCAGGGGGTCCTATGCATCCCGCCGGATGGTCACACGGCCCGAGGACTGACAAAGCCCCTCACTGATCCCCTTCTCTGCACAGGGGGCTACCGGCCTGCCCGGACCTCGGGATTGGACTGATCAGCTGGTGGTCTGTCTGCTGCCATCAGGGGCTGGGGTGACTCTAATAGGAGAAGCGGGTAATGTGCTTTCTCACCTCAGGGGCTGCAAGCCCCCTTGCACCTGGCTGGCTTAGTGCTTGGCGCTGGCAGTGAGCATGAAAGGGGTGGATCGGGCCTTCTGGGCAGGTGTGGAGCAACGCGCGGCCTCCTCCTGCCTGGGGGGAGAGCCCCAAATCGCCTCGATGCCAAGGAGACGCTCATCTGGGTTGACATCACGGAGACACAGGCTGCACTGTAGGGGCTAGGGCGTCAAGCCTGCCCTTGAGTTCCCTGGTCATGACTGCCCGGCGACTCTTGGAATGACTGGCCCAAAGTCACAGCACAAATCCTTGGCACAAGCAGGATCAGCCCAGAGGTTCCCAGCCAGGCAGGCTCCTCCCGGGTCCAGGGAGCAGCGGCGCTTGGTCAGGGAAGGAGGCCCCGTTGCAGGGCTGCGTGGGACACGTGCTGACGGGCCTAGTGGACTCCAGGGAGCTGCACGTCGAGAGAGGCAGCCGACCCAGGGCTGTGGCCTTCCCAGGGAAGCCTCCTCCTCTGCTTTCGTGAGCGGGCAGCAGGTGGACCACAGCCTAGACGCCCTGCGTGGAATCCCCAAGGAAATGGTAGCTGGGGCCTCCTGCTCCCCCTGGCTCCTCCTGCTTTCGGGAGGGGGCAGCTGCACACCGGATGGGGCTTTAAGCCAGCGGTAAGAGAAACGGGGCCGGGCCGGGCACGGCGGCCTGGAGAGAAGAGAGAGCGGGCAACCGTTTGCTGGCTCTGCTCAGCCGCCGACAGCCTGACCAGGGATGGCCTGCTCCAGGGTCCCCGAGGCCTGGGCCACAGCAGCCATTAAGAACAGACGTGGACGTGCTCGGGCACTCACACAGGCACGGCGACCATGCACACGCACGCACACCCACACGCACGCACGCCCGCCCCACCTCACATTCAGACCTAGTGTTGAAAACACAAGTGTGTGTAAACTCAGTGGAGAGATGTGCACAGCGGGAGTCAGGCGGGACTGGCCCTCTTCCGCGAGGCTGGACCGCTTGGGGTTCTCGTCCGTCCCCACCCCCACCCCTCATGTAGATCATGACATCAGAGAATCAGGTTAAAAATTTAAAAAAAAAAAAGGAGGAGGAGGCGAATCAGATCCTTGGGAATTCTTAGTAGTAGCGTCACTGTCGGGAGCTGCTCGCCCAGCGTGTGTGTGTTCTGCAGCCCGCGCCGCCCCTCAAGGTCCCGGGCCCCGCGGCTACTGGGAGGAGGCCTTGGTGGCCAGCGAGGCCACGCAGTGCTGCTGGAAGCTGGGCGACACGGCGGCGGTGCAGCCGAGTCTCTGGTGCGGCAGCTTGGAGGTGCTGCCCGCACCCACGCCGCCCACGTCGGCCTCGGCCGTCCAGGGCGGCTCCTGGCCCATCATGCTGCTGCAGCAGCCGGGGCTGGCGCTGCACGTCCGCTCGGCCGCCAGGCTGCCCGCCTGCTCCGCCAGGAGCCTGCTGTGCCTCAGCGGGGCCACGTCCCCCGTGCCTGCCGCGGCCGCGCTCTGGCCCTGCAGCACGGTGGTGATGTGGTTCAGGAGGTCCGTGAAGAACTCGCTCACGCCCTCGTAGCCTGAGGGTGGAAGAGACAGACAGCACGCTGAGCCAGGTGGGTGCGGGGGGCGCGAAGGGGCTCCCGAACCCACGAGGGCTGGTCGAGCGCACACAGCCTGGACTCCAAGCCCGGTGCGTGCGGCCCCGAGGGGCCAGTCCTTGAATTCGGCTGCCCCCGGAGGGTGAGAAGCCGCTGAGAAAGCGCCCTGTCCCTGCTGAGCACAGCTTCGGCGTCTCATTTAATCACCCCCCTCCCCACGTGGTCTGATGCCATCATGCGGGGGAGGTGGAGTGGCCAGAGGTGGCAGGACAGAAGGCCCGCTCCTCCAGCTCTGAATCAGAAACACCCCTCCCCGCTCCACGTGGCCCAGCTCCAGCTTCCCTGTGTGTAAACTGAGGATGGGGGAAGGGGGGCTCCTGTGGGCAGGACCGGGAGGGCTGGAACGTGGGTGAGGCCTGATCAACAGCAGCTGCTCCTGGAACTGAGTCCATTTCCCTCTCACCCCCAAAGTATCAATACCCGCAAGGAGGCCTGCCATGCTGCGTACTCTGCGCAGCAAAGCCAAGGGATAGAGACTGGGCACCCCCCAACAAGGCCACCACACTAACACCGCTTCCCTGACAAGCGGGCCCAGATCTCCTGAACAGAAACCGCCGGTACCCACCTGGGGACTGCGTTTCCCATCACAGATGCAATTGCGAATGTCAGCAAACAGTCCTCGGAGCCACCCATCGAGCAAATTTCGGATCTAGCTCGAGGATTTTGCTGACTTCTGAAAGCTGCTTCGAAAGAAATTCGACACGGGGTGGGTGCCCCCGCCCCCGCCTGCCTGAACCAATTTGCAGCAATGAGAACCAGGCACACAGCTGCAAGAACAATGATCGGGACAGAAAGCAGGTCCCCAAAAAGGGACAGCGTGCCTGCATCGGGAGGGGGCCCAGGTACCACCCCCTGGCCCGGGATGTGACCCCATCGCTGACACCAGGCCTGGTGCTGAGAGGTGCCGACCCCTCGCACGTCCTCTGGGATGGTCTTCACAGCCGTTGGCACGAGCTGCAGGAGAATGAAGGTTCGGACTTGGGCAGGTGTGTTAGCTCGTACAGAAAAGGCTGCCCAGGGGCCAGGCAGATGGGGCTGCCTCACTGTGCACGTTCTTATGTGTCCAGCAAACAGTGCTGTGGTTCTGAGGGAGCCCGAGGCTGAGAGGGGCAAGCAGAGGTGCCCAGAGGAAAAACAAAACTGGGTATATACTGGCATGCACAGCACTTGCCCTGCTCAACACTCCCTCACCTGATCATCGCAACCCTCTGTCCCCATTTTCCAGATGAGGAAATGGAGGCACAGAGTTAAGTAACCAGCCCCAAACACCAAAAGGGCCATCAGCACGTGGACACATGTTCACTGTGAGGGTGGGTATGGTGACAATGTCCAGGGCTAGCGTTCATCCAGGCTCACTGAGTGCTGGCCCCCGGCTACATGCTTCACATTCCTTGCTTGTGGCATCCTTATAGCCCCCCAGGGAGCGGGACCTGAGGGTTATCTCCATTTTACAGACAAGGACACGAAGCTCTAAGTAGCAGCACTGGGATCTGAACCAGGCCCTTTGGTGCCACCCGTGCCTTGAATACATGTGGTGCTGGGTGCCCCACTCTAGGACTGGGGGCTTCCTCAGCCCTGGGGCCGGGGGTGAAGGGCAGGGCAGTCACGGGCCATCGGCAGACGTGCTGCTGGGTTTCCAGGGCAGAGATGCAAGCAGGCCACCAAGGAACATAAGCTGTTCCCTCAGCAACAGCTCTGCCGTCCCCAGACGAGGCCCAGCCCACAGCTCCACGCAGGCTGGGGAGGGCGGACTGAGGCGAGAAGGAGCCCTGCAGGGCAGGCGCTGTGCACACGCCATCTCCTCTGCTAGGAGGGGAGAAGCGTTCCCACTGTGCACGAGCGAACACTGAGGCTGCCCCATCAGGAGGTTCGCCTCAGCAGATGGTGAGGGCAGCCAGGATCTGAAGCCACGACTCAAGCTAAGAAGCAGGCAGCCTCAGGTCAGGGGCCCAGGGCCCAGGCCCAGCCCCACTACCTGGTAGCCATGTGACCTTGGACGTGTCGCCCAGCCCCCTGGCTCCACGTGCCCGGCAGTACATGGAGATCCTGATGGTCCCTTGCGCGCTGTGTGGTTGTGAGGATGAAATGAAACCCTGAGGGTAAAGGTCCCCAGGCAGGCTGGGCACCACTGGTGGCCACTGCTGTCACCACTGCCCAGAGCCCAGCACACAGGCTGGGTGGCAGGGCTGCTACCGGACACCCATGGCCCGAGGCACAGGGTGAGGGGGCCCAGGACCATGAGGACTCCAGATCCAGGCCCGTAAACCCAGCGGGGAGAGGGCGGGGCCCCAGGCGGCCCGTCTCCTGGACACCGCCTCCTCTGAGCCCCAAGCCCCACGCGCTCCCGGTGCCTAACTCAGCACCGGGCTCCCTCACAGTCTCCTCGGGGCTCAGCTCCATCACTCAGGCTTGGCCCGCCAGGGGCCACCTCTTGGCTTCCCCCGTCCACGCTGGCTCACAGTGGCCGTCCCTTCTCTGAACACCCGGGACGCCCTCGGAATGTCCGGCCTGAGTCGCACAGGTGCTGGCTGGGCGGGTCCAACTCAGGACCCAGCACAAATCCGCAGCTCAGTTGCAGAGTTCCTCCCCGCCCCCCCACATCCTTCTAGAACCTCCACCCCACCAGCCGGGCATTGCCCTGCCCGGTCCACCCAATCCACTGACTCAGCCACCTTTTTCGCTGTCGTTCCCTCCACGTCCTCCCTGATTTAGATCCTCTGATTTATTATAATTGTTCCCCTGATGCAGCCTCAATTTCCCTGTGCTCTCTCATTCCGTCACCCTCACTCATCAAAAACCCACCTCTCCGTCCAGGCTGCACCCACGGTGACTACAGAAAAATAGGCCATTGTCCCAAAGGGTCTCAATTTCTATTCGCGAACACAGACCTCAGATGGCCGCGCCACCTTGCTCAGAGTGAACGGCCACACGGTGGGCTCCCCTCTGACCTCCGACCTCCCTGCTGCGCGAGGCCTCGGGCCACAGGCCCCCCTCCGCAGGCCCTGCCCGGGATCCTTAGGGGTGGCTCCCTCCCTTCTTGCCAGGCCCTGCTCCCACTCCCTCTTCACAGAGGAGCCCCTGGCACCCCCGTCCCCCGAGGGCAGGGCCCCCGCCGCCCCGCACTGTCTGCAGCAGCTGGGGAATGCAGTGGGCCTTCGACAAACTGCATGACAGAGACAGGAGTGGCCTCCCCCGAACCTGGGTTTCCTTGGCTGTGAATCGTGGTGCTGGCCGGGCCTGGCCCGCATGCTCTCAGTGCAGGGGACACGCGTCAAGCACCCAGCCTGGTGCCCCATGATGCTCCCCAAGCACGGGGGCTTCCTGCTCCCTGCGGACGCCCACTGCACAGTGCCCTCCTGCTAGCAGGGCTCTCACGTGAGATGCTAGCCTCCCGGAGGGTGGGAATCGCTTCCTCTCTTCATATGCACTGAGCAGTGACGATGGCTCTACCTCCAGCGCAGGTGCTTAATAAAGGCAAGAGCCACGGCCTTGAGACAGAGATGCCCACCGAGAGGGTAAGCGCCCAGGCTGCTCTGGGCCGGAGGGAGCGGAGCCGCACTGCCCCTGACCTGCCGTGAGGTGGGGAGTCGCCTGGCCTCCGCGCGTGTCTCTGTGAGGTAGCTCGGCCCAGGGCCACCATCACTGCTGAAGCTAAGGGCGCCCTCGAGGGCTCGCGGGCGATGTCTCCCGCTGAGCCCCTCCCTGAGCTGGGATCTGAGGAGTGCAGGGCAGAGCCTGGTGGGGCCGCAGTGCTTCCCGCCTCAGGGCTGCCACAGACAGCATGGAGCAGACGCCCCAGCCGCGGGGAGCTGGCCGGATCCCAGCGTGTCCCCAGCACGGTGGCTCAGGGCGGGGGGCGGAGCACGGCCACTACCCTGCAGTACGACCTGGGACAACTTCTCCCTCCCTCCCTGTTTGTAAACTGGGATTTATATGCCCTCCAGTGTCCTTTCAGCTCTTTAAACCTACAAGGGCCCAAGCGGTCAGCTGAGATTTGGCCCGGAAAGGCCACTGCTGGTGGCACCGGGCCAGGAGAGGTAGGGGAAAGAACACATGTTTAGCTGCAGGCCCACTACACGCCCTGTAAACCCACTGGCAGGTGGGGCTGAGGCTGAGCGGGGGCTGCTCCGACCCTGGGCCCCAGACAGTGAGGGATGGAGCTGGTCAGCCCGACTCTCCGGCCCCCACCACCCGCCCAAGGCTGCCAGTCTACAGACCGGTGAAGGTGGAGCCCGGCCCCACCGCTCACCTGGGAAGGCGTTGATGTCGATGACAGCGTGCTGCCCCGTCTGGTTGTTGATGATGATGTCGATCCCGAAGAGCGATACGCCCAGTGCCTGCCGCAGGGCCCGGGACAGCTCCCGGATGACCTCGTCACTCGGTCGCTCGAAGACTCCCTCGATCTTGTCCAGCTGCCAACACACACACACACACACACACACACACACACACACACACACACACACACACCCACACACACACACACACCCACACACACACACACACCCACACACACACACACACCCACACACACACACACACCCACACACACACACACACCCACACACACACACACACCCACACACACACACACACCCACACACACACACACACCCACACACACACACACACCCACACACACACACACACCCACACACACACACACACCCACACACACACACACACCCACACACACACACACACCCACACACACACACACACCCACACACACACACACACCCACACACACACACACACCCACACACACACACACACCCACACACACACACACACCCACACACACACACACACCCACACACACACACACACCCACACACACACACACACCCACACACACACACACACCCACACACACACACACACCCACACACACACACACACCCACACACACACACACACCCACACACACACACACACCCACACACACACACACACCCACACACACACACACACCCACACACACACACACACACACACACACACACACACACACACACACGAGTCAGGCCCCAGGTGGGGAGGCTCCACGCCTCGCCACACACAGAGACCCCCCAGGGAGGTGGCACAGGCCGGGCCTTACCCGCAGGCAAGAGGCAGGACAGACCCACCAGAGTCGGCACAAGGATGGCCATTTCCAAGTCCTGCCACGGGCTGGGCAGCTGCTTAGGTATACAGCGTACGTGACCTCTAGTCCTCATAACCAGCAGGGAGGCGAGCACCGTTATCAGCATTTTATACACAGGGGAGCTGAAGCTCAGAGAGGGTCAGGGGCCGGTCCAGGGCCACACAGCTCAGGGCTGGATTTGGACCCAGGCATTTAAGCCTGTAAAACCCAAGCCTCTTAGCAAGGAGGAAGGGGATGGAGAGTCTGTTGTGAACCCAGGAAGACTGTGTGGTTCAGGGAGCCTGTGAGCTGGACCTTGAAGATGGGAAGGATTGAGGGGGGTGGGGGGAAGGGACCCAGATGAGAGCACAGTGGAAGCAAAGGTGCAGAGGCAAGAACCCACAGGAGAGCTGGGAGCAGCTGGAAAGGTTAGGGCAGAGGCGGGCAGCGGAGGGAATTTCTGTCAGCATCACCGCACTGGCCCACCATTGCCGGAGCCTCAAGGCTGTGAGCTGATAGGTTCCGTGGACCAGCCTTCATTTACTGGCCGCAAGTGGGCAGGGGCGGGTGGTGGTCACAGGGCTCCTGGGTGGGGCTTACACTTCTCCCCTTCCGGATGAGTCGCTAACTCTGGCGTGGCCACACTAACTCATGCGCAGCGGGCTTTTCCCCAGAGTCTACTCTGCTGCTGCCGCCCAACTCCCGGGTCCAAGTTCAGCTTTTAGCGAAGCTTCCACAGGGCTCGTGGGGCCATCCCCTGGACTCCCGCTGACACCGCTCGCTTTCTGCTCTAATCACAGCTGGCCTGGGACAGCCACACAAGTCTTCATGGGCTCAAGCGTGGCCCGGGCCAGGGACCTCCAAGGAAGCAGAACACCGCCCCGGGAAGGACTGAAGTCCGAGGGATCCGGATTTGAATCCTGACCGTGAGTTCCTAGCTCTGTGGTCTTAGGGGAAAGTACTTGGCCTCTGTGTGCCTCAGCCTGCTCATCTGCAAAACAGGGCCAACGAGGCCTCCATCCCAGACTGCTGGGAGGAATCACAAGGTCATTGATGTGATGGGGACAGCACATGCCTGGCTGGAGGAGCCGCTCCACTTACATTTCAGGGCATGGATGGCAGCACGTCAGCCAGAATAGGGCTCACGTGTGGTACTCAGGAGATACCAGAGTCCCATGGACTGTGGGCTCGGGGCCAAAGGGGAAGCACAGGAGCTCACCCATCAGAAATAAAAAAGAAGCTGGGTCAAAAAGCTAAATGGAGAATTACCATGTGACCCAGCAATTCCACCCCAGGTGTGTAACTTGTATGCCACTGTTCATAGCTGCGTTGTTCACAATAGGCAAAAGGTAGAAACAACCCAAATGTCCATCAACAGATGACTGGATAAACAAAATGGGTTACCCACACAGTGGAATATTGTTCTCACAATGCTACCACGTGGATGAACCTTGAAAATATCAGGCTATGTGAAAAAAGCCAGACACAATAGGTCACGTACTGTATGGTTCCATTAATATGAAAGGTCCAGAATAGGTAAATCCATGGAGACGAAAAAGCAGATTAGTGGTTGCCAGGGGCTGGGAGGAGGGGGAATGAGGAGTGACACTTAATGGGTACAGGATTCTCTTTTGGGTGATGCAAATGCTCTGGAACTAGACAGAGGTGGCAGTTGCACGACGCTGTGAATGTACTTAACGCCACTGAACGGTTCACATTAAAACGACTAATGTTAACAAGAAATGAGGCTGGGTCCGGTGGGCTGGGGACAGAGCCCTGGGTACCCAGGACACATGGTGCTTACCCCCAGCTCAGGAAGCCGAATGGCTGATGGGGAACTTCCAGACACGTGCAGGGCAGGGACCCCACAACTGGGCACCGTCGTGCGCTACTGTGAAAGCCACATCCGCCGGCTCTGCATAGCAGGCGGCGACCCCCAACAGCGCCCATGACCCCGCTGCCTCGGCGTCTCGTCCAGGGGAGACGCTTTCTAAGCATCTGCGTTAGCTTCGCCGTGACAGGCACCTGCCTGAGCCCAGGTCAGCAGCCTGGCCACTGGTCCTGCGGCCCGGGTCCCTCACCGGGTCACAGCCCTGGGAGGACGCCTGGCATTGCCCAGTCCCCGCTGCGTGCCCTGAGCCATAACGGGCCCTGCCGCGTCTTGTTTTCTCGCCCCAGGAAACGGGGTAATAAAAACACCCCCGCCGCCACGGGACCATGGTGAGGATCCACGAAGCTCACCTGTAAGGCCTGTGGCTCAGGCCTGGCAGCAAGGGGACCAATGGCTGCTGCTTTGTTACAAAGCCTCGTGACCCCGCTGTTTATAAAAGCACTTTCTCAACTCAGCTAAGGAATCTCAGAAGTCCTTCTGGAGCCCTCTGATTGTCTAAAACAAGGAGGCGATGGAGGTGGTAAGAGGTGCTCAGGTGGACCCCCCGGGTCCCCCGTCACCAGTCACAGCTGACACTGACTGAGCACCTACTGCACACCCAGCACTGCCATGGTGCTTTTCATCTAGGGCCTCCCTGAACACCACCACCACCCTACAGGGTGGGACGGGGAACCCGAGGCCCAGAGAGGCAATGTGACTTGCCCGAGGCCACACAGCTGGAAGGTTGTGGAGCTTCGGTCTGACCCCAGGCAGTCTTGTCAGTGTCACACCCTTAACCAATACCCTGTACCTGTGTCTGGAGGGGCTGCCAGTAGGGTGTGGGAGCTGCGTCCACCCTCGGGAGCATCCGGCCAGGGAGGGAGGAGGGGCTTCAAGGCCAGGGCAGGGCTCCCGGCACCTGCACGAGGCCGAGATGGGGACTGGAGGGACCCCAGCGAACAGGAGAATGCTAAGGGGCTTGTCTGGACACCCAGGTCTGGGAATGGACTTGTCTGTGCATGTGGGCCTGACATCCCAAGTGGAAAAGGGACGGCTGACTGCATTTCCCTTTTCTCTTTTCCACGTTGCCAGCCCTGGGGGAATCCCCACACAGCAGTCATGAGCTGAGGGGAAGGGGGAGATGGCAGCGGGGCCTAAAGGTGGAGAGAAGGCCCCACAGGGTCTGCAGGCCGACCTTTCCCACGTGGCAGACGGAGACGCAGGCTGAACGGTAGGTGGGTGATTAGCCAGGAAGGTGACTTTGCTTCTGGCCCTCACAGTGACCCTCTGGCATCAGTTAACAGCCTAGCGGTGACTAGAGCTGCTCTGTGCCAGGGGAGTGGCAGGGACAGCCTCTCGGCAAGTCCGCGGAATGCCAACCCCCTCCAAGAGTCACAGGCCGAATAAGGTCTGAGAGCCTCGCAGGGAAGATGCCCTGCAGAGCTGGGCCAGCCTGAAGTTTCTGCAGCTTTTACGAGACCAGAACGTTTTCTTGCACAGAACACCTATTTACGTCTCATAATGTGCACAGCCAGGCGCTGAGGGGTTCTGTTTAAAATCTGGTTGTTCTCCAAGCATCCTTGACCACAAAACTTGTTCCCGGGGAACGTCTATTAACATCTTGAGGGACGCTGGTGTTCCTTCCAGGTCCCTTCCACGCCTGTGCTCTGTCGAACCCTCAGCACACAGCGGGCTCCTCAAAAGAACCAGAAACAAACAAGAAAAGCACAGGCGGCCTCGGTCGGGGGACAGGAGGCCCTAACCTGGAACGAGGGGGAGTGAGGCCTAGAGGTGGGGGTCTGCTGTGGAAGGGACACTGGCAAACCCTCCGAGCAGGGCCAGGAGGGGAGCGGAGAGCTGGCAGAGGGCTCATTTCAGCAGCAGTGGCGGCAGAGACCCCTGGCTCTCAGGACACACAGAGGAACAGCAGAGGGTGGCCCAGCGCTGACTTCTAACTGCTCAGCAATTGCCAGGGAGATAAGAAATCCTCAATTCACGGAGGACCCAGCTTTGGCATCAGACTAATCTGGGGTCAAATCTCGTCTCTGTCCCTGAGTGAGGAGCCCTGTGAACCTGGCTGAGCACAGCCCTCCCGCCTCAGGAAAGTGGGGATGTCTGTCCACCCCTGCAAGGCTGTTTTGGGCTGCAGGGCATCGAGGATGGAGCCTGACACGCAGCGACATTCGCTGAACAGCAACCCCGAGCCCATTACCCACCGCGAACTACCCCAGCAGCCCCAGATGTACACGGCAGGCTCTTAACAAACGCTCACTGGACTCACATGGGCAAGGAAAGAAAAAGGAAAACTGAGGTAGTGCTCTGCTCCCTTTTCTTAAATCAGGCAAAAGGCAGATTAGAAAGCAGGACTTCAAATTCCTCATGGTTGGGGGGATTTCCTCATGTAGGAGAGTTAGAAAATCATCCACTTGCAGTAGCCTAGCGACGAGCGAGCATGGCTGTGATGACCACTGGCACAAAGGCCCGAAGCAAGCGAGGAAGAGGGGTCTCTGGAACCTCCCTGGGTCCCTGGCCTGGGGGGGGAGGTCCTGCCACCCTGCCCCGCTGGACAACCAAAAGCACCCCACACCCAGGGCTCGGCGGGAGGGACATACCGCGGTCAGGACCGATGACGATTCTGGCTTGGACACGTTGTGGCTGTTGAAGAAAATGGACTCACGGTCTGAAAAAGCAAAGACAGGAAGAAGACGGAGTCAGAAGCTCGAAGCAGGGACAGTGATTCCAGCACCCGACACCAGCGGGCAGCACCACCCCAGCCATAGGTCACAGTGGCCTTCAGGCTCAGTGTCCCGCGGCAGCCACCTGGGCCTCCCTACCCACCCCAGGAAGACATGACGCCACGGAGACCCGCACGCCCAGGCAGGGCTCCTGTTTCCATTTTTCTTCCCGTATAAAAATGAATGGCTTGATGAGCGCACCTCTGCCTCTGCTCTCGTCTTACAGAACCATACCTGATTTTCCGCAATACCCGAGGCCCTCCCTCCCCAAAGTGTGTCTAGAGAGTGTCTTATGGACATGGCACCAGAAAGGGGGCTAAGTGAGTGGGAAATGCTGCATATGTGACTATCAAAGGCCCAGAGTAAAGATGTCAACTGATGCCATTTAATCCAGCATTCCCCTCCCGGTTCTGCCCACGGAATGCCTTTTCAGGGTAGCAGTTGAGAAATGGCTCGGCTGCCACTTGGCACGTGAGTGTTTAAAATACAAAGGGTTTCACTGTTTCCCCACTACTTAAGGAAAAAATAGGAAATCAGAGCATGGGCTTCTGTAGGACCCATCCAAGAAAGCATACAGAATAATTTCTGTTCGGCTTTGGAACTTAGCACAGCCCCACGAAATACCCTCCACATCTCCCACCCCCTCCCTCTCTGCTCCCACTGCCCCCTGGGCCCCCTCGGTCGGTCCCATGGGGGCACCCGAGAGGCAGATCAATCCCAAGATTATTGGGAGTGATGAGCAGCTGGTTTGCTCATTCACCCCCTGGAGAGTAAAGGCAGGTCAGTCGGTCAGAAACATGTTCTCCAGCAGCTGGAAGTGTGGCCCACAAAAACCATGAGCCTCGGGGTTGAGATATGGTAAAGGCCATCACACTATGATTCCCCCCACCCCAAGAACGGCACGGGCCACGAGCCCCGCCGTGGCCCCAGCAGCCTCTGCGTTAGTCCTTCCTGGCAGGGCGTTATGGCTCCCGTCCCCCAGGACACATTGCTCATCCCTGGGACCCAGGCCCCTAAGCGCAGGCCAGGAAGGGCCCTGGCTGAGCACCGCTGTGTGCCAGGGGCCAGACGGACGAGGCACCTGCTCTGGCTGCCAACGCCCGCCCCCCACCACCTCCAGGATTACAGCGCCGCAACAATCATGCATAAGGAAGTGATTCGGGTGGAGGCTGAGCAGGCAGGCGCTGAGATGTACCTGGCATCTTTCCCGCTAGCGGGGCATGCAGGCCCCTTGCTGCCCTGGTGTGCCCGAAAGTCCTCCTACCGCTCCGACCAGAGCCAGTCCAGACGGGGGGCACGAGAGACGGTCCTGGGGAGGAGCCTGGGGAAAATAAACACCCTGCAGGACTGGTGCCAAGCAGCCCCACCGACCTCGACTCCTGGGCGCCAACAGCCAAGAAGAGTGAGCCTTCGGAGGGTGGCAAGCTCCACGGGCCAGAGCCCGGAGCAGCTGGGATGGGCGTTCCGGCCTTCTGTAGGCACTGCCTACCTTCTCAGCCTGTAGCCCAGCCTGGCCCAGTCCAACTGAGCTCAGGGCACCTCCCACCCACCCTGTGGGACCCAAGGGCAATCACCAGGATGGCAGAGCAGGCCTGGGGAGAGAAAGGCCACCCAGAGCAGGTGGACACAGCCAAGCTGTCACCCAACAGCTTCTTGTGGCAAGATCTAAAGTGTGGACCATTTCAAAGGAGACTCGTTTCTCCTCCTGGCTAACACTGACCTGGGAGCCCTGGCCAGAGGACTGTTTAGCAGGGAGGGGAGAGCTGCCCTTTACTCAGATCCTCCCTATGTGCGGCCTGAGCAGGGGCTGGACAGAGTGGGAGCGGATTCCGGCCATTTGATGAACCAGGAGACTGTGGAAGCCGAGATGGGTCAGAAAGGGTCAGAGCATCCCTTGGTGCCAGTTTCCTTGGGCAGCTTCAGGATACCGAGTTCCCTAAAGATAAGCCTGGCTGGGCCCTTGCACCTTGATCACAGGTGCACCCTGGACTGGGGGGGCCCATCCCCTCTCTGTTCCTGGACTAGTCCCGAGTCACACGGAGCCCCAGGAAGAACCACCAAGAACGCCCACAGGAGAGGGGAGGCAATAAGAGGAATATGGGTATTTTTACCCCCAATTTACAGACAAGAAAGAGAGGTTCAAAAGAAGCAGAGTAAGTGACAAGTTTAGCACCCAAATATCCCAGAGGGTCTGAGGTGCAGTTGTGAGCTGTGGCCACACCTTCCTCAGCTTCATTTGCTTAATCTTCACATCTCTGGCCGGGTGGGGGGAAGCATGTCATGGCGCTGCAGATCCCATGCAAGCATCAGCTCCGCAGAGGGGCCGGCCCCGGCTGCCCTGCCCGAGTGGCTCCCCTCACCCAGCAGTGTCCCAGGACCCACTGTCTCCTCTGGGGTCCCTCATCTGTGCTGCCACAATTTGTCCTTTCATTACTTCTTCCCTGGTGTGTAGTTTCTCCCGCTAGAAGATGAACACACGAGGGCAGGACACTTGGCTGATTATCTAGCTCCCTGCTGGATCCCAGGGCTGAGCGTCTGGCAGGTTCAAGGAAACAGGGCATTTGTTACACCTGAGGGCCTCTCGATGCAAGATCACCAAATCTGGCCCGCCACCTGTGTTTGTAAATAAAGGTTTATTGGAACGCAGCCATGCTCATTCGCTTACATGCTGTCTACAGCGGCTCTTAGGCAACAACAGCAGCATTAAATAATTATGACAGAGCTGGAAACACTTACTCTGGACTTTTGCAGAAAAAGCCCGCTGACCCTTGCTCTATGTGGTAAGCGGTGTCGTTCCTTTATATTCATACCCCTAAGGAAAAAAAGGCCCACGTGCAGAGTATAACAAAGGCATTGTGCGCGCAGAGGAAAAGAAACAGAAATAAACCCACTGCACAGAAAGGGGAGCAGAGAAACATGCCCGCTGCGACTCTGGAACTAGTGGAGAGAGGGGAGCAGTCTCCCCAGGACCGTGGACCAAGGGCAGAGAACATGTGTTCCTGGGGCTGGCACAGGCCAACCTCAACCCTCTCTGTAAAAACGTGTCTTCAGTTCCAGCAGAGGCAACTCCAAGAGGCCTGTGGCCGTAAGACACACCTGACTTCAGAGATGCTAACAGGTGAAAACCAAAAGTACATCTGAGAATCAAAAGAACACAGTAGTTGTGGAGGGAAAGCTGGTGTCCTCATCGCCACTGCAGGTCAAAAGAATCCCACTCAAGGAGCCTCCATCTCCCTGCATGGACATGGGAGGCCGGCGAGCCCGCCACACAGCGCCATGGGAACCAGAAAGCTGGGAGGGGGCTGGACAGAAGCCAGAGCCCTAAAGCCCCCTGCTCAACTGGTCCAGCTTAAAGAGCCGCTGTCACAGTGCTTCTCATCCAGAAAGAGAACACACGTGTGAAAAGAACAACGAGCTGGTGTGATGCCCTGAAGACAGTGGACACAGAATCAGTTTTGGGGATGGAGGGATGGACACTGAAAATCACTCAGCTCGCCTGGGCATAATGAACACTTCTCCGTTAGCTCTGTGTTTCTCCACTGATTTACTCGGCCCCAGCCTGCATGTTATGGTAAACTGGCAACCTGGAATGGCCATGAGAAGACACAGATGCGGAGCCCCTGTCCTCAGACACGGGACACAGAGCTCACGCCCAGCCACTAGTGGTTCCCAGATGGAAACTGGCCCAGGCCTTTGCAACCAGGAGAAAAAGGGAAGGAAAAGAGAGACACTTTTCATGTGGAAAGGAAGGAAACCAGGTGGTATACTTCTTTCAGAGATGGAGTGATTTTTGGTAAAATAAATAAAAAGGCATACCTACTCTTCCCTTAATACATTTTGCGTAGACTTAAAGAACATATGTTTAAAAATCAGGAAACAATATAAACAGGCTTAAAAAAATATCAGCCTCATCCTGCCCACAATTGCTAAGAATGCCTCTTGCCAGTACACAGTCACATACAAAAAGACCCCTCCTAACATCGGTCCCCCACCCCCAGATCATTCCATCAGCCCAGTGGGTAGAGGGAAGGACGAGTGTGAGCACCGGGATGCCCTGAAAGCCCCGCCAGCACTCAGAAGGGCAGTGGAAGGAGACACACATTTCCAAAGTGTCTGCTCTCTGGATTGAGTTAATGGGAAGAACGGCTGAGACAGGACGCGCACAGCTGGACTTCAGTCAAGAGGCGTGGCCTGAGGCTTCCGTGGTGGCGCAGTGGTTGAGAGTCAGCCTGCCAATGCAGGGGACACGGGTTCCAGCCCTGGTCCAGGAAGATCCCACATGCTGCGGAGCAACTAAGCCCGTGCGCCACAACTAGTGAGCCTGTGCTCTAGAGCCCGCAAGCCACAACTACTGAGCCCACGTGACACAGCTACTGAAGCCCATGCTCCGCTACAAGAGAAGCCCGCGCACTGCAACAAAGAGTAGCCCCCGCTCGCCGCAATTAGAGAAAGCCCACGCGCAGCAACGAAGACCCAGTGCAGCCAAAAATGAGAAAGCCCACGCGCAGAAACAAAGACCCAACACAGCCCAAAAAAAAAAAAAAAAAAGAGGAGTGGCTTGAAGCCATGAGGAGCGGATGGTGACAGGCAGTCCCAGCAGAGGGATTTTAGGAACACACATCTGTTTGCTCAGAGGGAAATAACGCAGCCTGGGCATTTCATCTGGTGATGGCAGGTTTCCCGTCCAGAGAGAAACACACAGTGAGTGAGAGCAAAACACACCAGGGCAACCAGACATCCTCCGAGGGGTCCTCTTGGAAAACCGTGCTTATTCCAGAGACACTGCCACTGTTCCAAAGGTTTCCGGAACTTGCCTTAGAGATGCCTTCAGAACCACTAGAACAGTCTTTTAAGCAGCCCCAATACCAGCAAATCCTTATCTTAGTGTCAGTTTTTGAAACGGCCAAGGGTCACCTGGAGCTGGTGAGGACCCCCTCAGATGCCCCAACGCTGGCAGAACCCTGCAAATGCCACCACTGCGTGACATCTGAGGGACACGGAGGACCATTATCCACTGATCCAAAACATGCTCACCGATGCGCTCCTCAGCCCTGTGGGGGACCTGGCAGGCTGACTGTGGCCACCCTTGACCTGCCCGGGGTCCCACAGCCAGGAAGTCCTGCACCCTGTGTGCTAACTCCAAAGAGAGCATGCGTCCACCTCAGCGGCTTCAGAAGCAGCAGGTGACTCAGTGTTTTCCAGTTGGAAAAAGGAGACGTGATAAAGCAGCCAGCGCTCTGGTCCTCAAAATATGAGGGGCCCCTCCCTCCCTCCCCATCCCTGGCTTCGCCGAAGGGACCATCATCCATTCCAGCGTGTTCCCTGTGGGCCTCATGATTGCATGGGGCCCCGGGAAGTGGCCTGGGGGCAGAGAGCTTTCAGGTTCTTCCTGCAATTTATGGTAGTTGAGACAGACGGAGCCCCTACAATGACCTGGTGTGCCCCAAGACCTCTTTACCTACTGGACACAGCTCTTCCAACCTTCAGATCACCTCTCCCCGCTCCAGAAACTGGCGGCTGGTGCCATGCTCCAGCCATGCCCCTAAGCTCAGGGCATCCAGAGATGGCGCGAGGCTCAGTTACCTGATGTGCCGGCGGAGAAGTTCTTCAGCGAGGGCCTCTGGACCACGGTATAGGACTCGCCGACCACAAACACCTTGTACAGGACGGCGTTGTGGTTGATGAAATTCTGGACCACACAGGGCAGCTGGATGGCACTCAGGCCCTCCTGGTTGAACACGATAGCCATCTGGGGAGACAGGGGGCCAAGGGCTTGGTCAGAGTCCACCAACTCCTCAGCCTCAGGCACAGGGTATGTCACCTGTCCAGAGCACTGCCACCAAGGCCCACCCTTGGTCCTGTAGCACAAGGGCTCCCCAAGACGAGTTTCAAGCCAGGGTGAGTGGAGTGGGACTTGAGAAGAACACCTGGGGATCAATCCACGCCTGCTATGAGGGTTTGGAAATCCTGTACTATCAGGCCCGCCATGGAAGGCTGAGCTGGCTGTGCACTGCATAGTTCCACTACTCACACTGCACCCAGGGAATGGGACCCCCTGGGTTGTGTACTACTTAACCCTTATGACCTCCTAGAGGTTCCTCCACAAAGTCTTTGGTTGGGTGGTGGGGGGCGGGGAGGGGGGCAGGTGGCTCGGCCAGGAAGCGGAAGACAATGGATCAGGGTTTGGGAGGCCTTGGGTCCAAGCCTGCATAATGACAAGTGCTGCCTTTTGAGCACTCATGACACACCTGGCCCTGTTCTAACCACTTTGCATGAATCACCTGGTGTTTCCCTCACAATGTACCCCCGAGGTGGGCACTGACACCACCTCCCTTTTACAGATGAGGAAACTGAGGCCCTGAGGCACTTAGTGGCTGCTGGAAAGTGACAGAGCCCAGCATGGGCTGGGGTCCAACGGCCCGAGCCTTGCCGTCTTACACACTGAGTGAGCCACACGAGCACTTGAGGAACGGGAACATGCCGCTCCCAGTCCCTGAATCCTCTGGGGACAAAGGCCTCCACCAGGAGGGTCTGGCAGGGGACTGAGGTCAAGATGGGAAGAGGGGCGGCTGGAGAAAGCCTGCTCGCTTTGGCTGAGGCAGGGCCCACTGCAGCCAGCTGCCAGTGCCAGGGCCACGGCTAATGCTTCGTTCAAGTCCACGGGGCCCCAGGAAGGAGCCACCAGATGCCCAGAGCTGCTGGGAGGGGTAACGGGGCTGGACAGCTGGCCACCACACTGGCTGTTGCCTCTCACATCAACTGTCACAGAGCACCACCACGATGTGCCTGGTGCTCAGCTGGGTGGGGCAGAAGTAGAGATCCAGGCCACACGGGGAAATGAAGAGAGAGAGAGAGAGAGAGAGAGAGAGAGAGAGAGAGAGAGAGAGAGAGAGACAGACAGACAGACAGACAGAGAGACAGACAGAGAGACAGAGAGAGAGACAGAGAGCGCGCGTGCGCGCACGTGCGCCGCAGTGAATTATCTCCTTAGCCATCTCACAAAAGTAAGAGAGCCATACACGGGTTCAAGACCCAGCCCTGGCACTTGCTGCATAAGCCCTGTTTGAGCTCCATTTTCCTCACCTGTGAAATAGCATCAGTAACCACCATGGTGGGGCTTCCCTGGCGGTCCACTGGTTAAGACTCCGCACTTCCACTGCAGGGGGCACGGGTTCGATCCCTGGTCAGGGAACTAAGATCCCGCATGTCGCGCAGTGTGGCCAAAAAAATTAAAAATAAATAAATAAATAAAATAACCACCATGGGGTAGCTTCGGGGTCCTCCGAGTTTTTGGCTCAGTGGGGTTTTTGTTTGTTTGTTTGTTTTTAAAGGAGGGGATGTGGCATTCCACTGTGGAGCAAACTTGTGTGCTTACACCAGCTTAAAGTCAAGACAAGAGCCCAAACCATCGTGTGAACCTAAGATGAAAACAAACTAGTCCCGATTTCAGTTGAGCGAGGGACCGGGGAATCAGAGGTAGGGTTCGGGCAGACTGGGGTACAGGTGAGGACCCCGGTCAGAAAGCCCCCTTTCCTGTGGAAAGCTCATCACGTGCACAGAGATGTCCTCCATCCTCGCTGCACTCAGCATCCCCGGGCAGCCCTGAGGTGGGTGACGAGCCTCAGCGTCCCACCCACAGGCTCAAGCCACGGAGGGTGCCCCACCAGAGGGGGGGTCCCTCTGATGCTAACAGCCTCCCAGGAGGCAGACGGCCCGTGGCACACAAGCCCCCTGGGAATCTGCAACACCCCAGATCCCGATCTCAGGGCTCTGTCCCTGACCCCTACCCAGCAGAGGAGTCCCTCCTGGAAACAGCGCACAGCGGGCTGGGAGAGGCCCAGGGGTGGGGCAGTGGGGGTGGACGTGGCACACACCTTGGAGCCAGACTTGGATAACTGGACTGAAGGGTGAAATAGCCTCCCCTGAAGGCACTTGACCCCATGGAGTCAAGACTCCCCTGGAGGAGGGTGGCCACCTCGATCCAGAACCCCCGCCCCGTCAGCAATGACCCAGTGGGCTCCAGGGCAACTGGTTCCATGACAGCCTATCAAACACTCCCTGGGCCAGGCCCCATGGCAGCACATGCAGCAACTCCCTTATCCTTCACAACAGCCGCCATATGCCCAGTTACAAGTGAGGGACGGAAACTCAGAGAGGCTGGGTAATCTGCCCAAGGTCACACAGCCGGTGGTGCTCAGAACCAGACCTGGTCCCAGGCTGGTGTGATTCCAAAGTTCTTACGTCAACAGCAGAAGCGGTTCCTTCCTGGAGGCTGACCTATTCTGCATTAGGCTGGTCTAATCACACTAATGACTGCAGTCGCCTTTCTGTCCTGAAAACCCCGAGGCACTGACCAAAGAGGAACCGTTTGGTGGTGAAAAGGGCCAGGTGGAAGGTTGGGGAGCTGGTGCTGGTGCCAGCGAGGGGAGTGTGGGTTCCAGGGACACAATTCTGGCTGCTCTGAAGCCTTCCTGCTCCCTCCCGGGGCCCGGCCCAGGCGCACACCCCTGGCCTGGAGCCCAGGCAGGTCTGGATAGGGAAGGCTCCACGAGGGCTCCTGACCTTAGTAGACAGCTGACCTTTGCTACAGGCCAGGATTTCCTGCCCTCACCTTCCCCCCCACAAGCAAAGGGACTCCTCGGCCTTGCAGCCCCATCACGGCATGTACCACACCATAGGGACACATCTGTTTACAGACATTTCCCCATAAATACATGCCAGGGATAAAGACACTACATACGCCTTCTCCAGGGCGCACTGCCGGGGTTGTCCACGTTTAGTCATAGGTCTTGGGGGAGCATTTCTGACAGTGGGGCTGCCCGGGACAGACTCTCCCACAGGGCCTTCTGGGTGGGTCAAATGTCTACAGCCCAGGGTGTCCTCCCATGCATCTAATGAGGAGGTCCCCAGGCTGGGCTGTGCCCCTGAAGACAATGTCCCAGGCATGGTTCTTAAGGACGGCAACAGACCCAGCAGAGCCCCTGCCTGGCCATTAGCTCCCAAAAGGCTTCCTCTGCTCAGTCTCCCAACCACACCCCGCTGGTGCCCTCCACCTCCGGGACTCTGTGCTCCCCACCAGGGCAGGACTCCAGGACTAACGCATCCTTCCCGGGGCACCCAAGGCCGGGAAGGACTACTGGGTGAACACAGGAATGAATGAGAGGGTGGGGCAGTCACGTACACGGCAGGTAGGGTGCTCCTTCCTCCTCTCACCCCCTTCCCAAATTCAGCAGGCCTGGCAGATCCCTGTAGGCAGCGATGGCATCTTTTCAGTGGGGCCCAGGCCACTGCCTGGCACGGAGCAGGAAGTGACTGACACCGACAGGCCAAAGGACTGGTCAGATGGAGGCCTGGCTCGCACGGGCACAAACGGGGCAGGCACAGCCATCGCGGCCTCGGGGACAGGACAGGCACAGGGTGTGGGTGGAGAGAGCGTACAAAGCCACAACCTCAGGAGCAGCAGCAGGCTTGGCGGGATCCAGCAGCAGGCTAGGCGGGCTCCCAGAGAGACACCGCGAGCCGAAAGGATCGGGGGCAGGGGGATGGCCAGGGTGGGGAGGCGGGGGGCAGGGCAGTCAAGTCGTCACATCTTCCACTCACCTCGTGAGAGTTGGTGCCATGAGCCACTCTGGTTTTGCAAACTGTGGGTGGGGGAGAGAAAAAGAGGGGTGAGCGAGGTTATTCACCCACAAAGCCCATACTTGCAGGTACAGGGAGAAACTCTCAACAACTCCCGCAGCCCCTCAGGGGAGGGGCAGGTGGGAGCTGGAGGGTGGCGCGGACTCGACCAGGGCCAGCACCTGCCCGCGGGTGAGCTGGACGGACACCGCCAGGCCAGGCCCTCACCACCCAGGAACCCAGGGACCCGCGGCCATGCCCTCCCCGGCGGCCGAGGCCTGCCTGCACCCTCGGGAAGTTTAAGGCCCACCCAGCCCCCACGTGGCACACTCAGGGCGCGATACACACTGAACGGGAAGGTCAGGCCATTCTCCGCCAGGAGCCGCATGGTGTCGTCTCCGCCCAGGCTCGTGAGCTCCATGAAGGGTGGTGAGCAGATCCTGTCATCTGGGGGCGGAAGAGAAGCCTGAGTCAACCCCGCCCTCTCCCCGGGGCCCCCTCAGATCCCCTGCCCACCCCATCTGATGGCCCATACGCCGCCGCAGTCACCCACATGCCCCGGGAATGAGAGCACAGACTTTCATTACATTTTCTAATAGCGTTTCTGTAATGACGGAACCAATACATGATAACGGCAAAGGCTGAAGATCAACTAAAAGTGAAAACCAGACACAGTCACAGATACGACTGCGATTACCTCCTAGCCCACACTTGGGCATGTGACACACACACACAGCTCCACAACGAGGTACTGTTTTGTAACTCAAATGTTCACTCAATCAACTATGAACGCTGTTCTGGGGCAATAAAGACTTCACCCTCCAAAGGGTAAGCTGGGATGAACTGAGAGAGTGGCATGGACTTATATACACTACCAAATGTAAAATAGACGGCTAGTGGGAAGCAGCCACATAGCATAGGGAGATCAGCTCACCGCGAGCCGAAAGGATCGGGGGCAGGGGGATGGCCAGGGTGGGGAGGCGGGGGGCAGGGCAGTCAAGTCGTCACATCTTCCACTCACCTCGTGAGAGTTGGTGCCATGAGCCACTCTGGTTTTGCAAACTGTGGGTGGGGGAGAGAAAAAGAGGGGTGAGCGAGGTTATTCACCCACAAAGCCCATACTTGCAGGTACAGGGAGAAACTCTCAACAACTCCCGCAGCCCCTCAGGGGAGGGGCAGGTGGGAGCTGGAGGGTGGCGCGGACTCGACCAGGGCCAGCACCTGCCCGCGGGTGAGCTGGACGGACACCGCCAGGCCAGGCCCTCACCACCCAGGAACCCAGGGACCCGCGGCCATGCCCTCCCCGGCGGCCGAGGCCTGCCTGCACCCTCGGGAAGTTTAAGGCCCACCCAGCCCCCACGTGGCACACTCAGGGCGCGATACACACTGAACGGGAAGGTCAGGCCATTCTCCGCCAGGAGCCGCATGGTGTCGTCTCCGCCCAGGCTCGTGAGCTCCATGAAGGGTGGTGAGCAGATCCTGTCATCTGGGGGCGGAAGAGAAGCCTGAGTCAACCCCGCCCTCTCCCCGGGGCCCCCTCAGATCCCCTGCCCACCCCATCTGATGGCCCATACGCCGCCGCAGTCACCCACATGCCCCGGGAATGAGAGCACAGACTTTCATTACATTTTCTAATAGCGTTTCTGTAATGACGGAACCAATACATGATAACGGCAAAGGCTGAAGATCAACTAAAAGTGAAAACCAGACACAGTCACAGATACGACTGCGATTACCTCCTAGCCCACACTTGGGCATGTGACACACACACACAGCTCCACAACGAGGTACTGTTTTGTAACTCAAATGTTCACTCAATCAACTATGAACGCTGTTCTGGGGCAATAAAGACTTCACCCTCCAAAGGGTAAGCTGGGATGAACTGAGAGAGTGGCATGGACTTATATACACTACCAAATGTAAAATAGACGGCTAGTGGGAAGCAGCCACATAGCATAGGGAGATCAGCTCAGTGCCTTGTGACCATCTAGAGGGGTGGGATAGGGAGGGTGGGGGGCTGGGATAGGGAGGGTAGGAGGGTGGGAGGGAGACGCAAGAGGGAGGAGATATGGGGATATATGTATACGTATAGCTGATTCACTTTGTTACACAGCAGAAACTAACACACCATTGTAAAGCAATTAAACTCCAATAAAGATGTTAAAAAAAAAAAAAGACTTCCCCCTCCGTAGGCAGTATCAGCTTAATGATAATCACAGGAACGACACCAGCCCTTCGGCTCTTATCCCAGGTCTAGCACTGCCAAGGGCTTTATGTACATCGCCTCTGAAGTCTGCAAATAATCCCGTGGGGAGGATGCTGAGGGGGGTGGGGGGATTAAAGAGCAGCTCTCGGTCACACAGGGACCCCTGGCATGCAGCCTCTCGCCACCTAACAGAGGCGGCTCCTGACCCCTCTGTCACCCCGACAGGCCACACTCGAGCACAGGCATCGCCCTCCTCCTGCCACCACACTCCAGCCTCGGCCCCACCCCCATGCCGCTGCTTTCCTGAGTCCCCGCGCTCTTGGAGGGGTGCTCGCTCACCCTGTGGGTTCCAGGCGTGTTTGGTTTTCTGAGAAGCTCTGGGAGCTGGGTGTGCTCTGTTCGTCAGGACGCTCCTGGTGCCAGACACCGAGTGAGGGCAAAACAGATTATTCGTGGGAAAACAAAGTGTCTTCTGAGTCTCTCTACTGATGGTTAAATTGCATGACTGGCCTGTTATCACTACTCAGTCCACCTCCATCCCCACTCAGGGTACCAGCTCCCAGGAGGTAAGACCACCCTGTATTTCTGGGCACAGGAGCTGGGAAAGGCTGAGCATTAGTGGGATGGGGGTGTCACCCCCATCCCCGCCACGAACCTGGAAACCAGACCGAAAGCAAACAGTAAAGCAGCTTGTCTCCAACGGCTTCTAGCTACTTGGCTGGCTAGGAGGTCAGTACATTAAAACACTGAAACCAAGGTAAGATCCAGCTTCACATATCTCATAAAAGCCAGTGCCAAGAATTACACGGGGAACATTAAAAGTGTTTTAATTTCCCTCCCCGCCCCCCGCCAGCAAAGTCCAAACTGCAAACAGGCGCAGAGTGATGGCAGGTTCTCGGGGACCCAGGGAGGGTGGAGCCCTGGCAGACGGCGAGGCAGGCCCTCTGCACGGGGCACTCATATTCCTCAGGGACAGATGCTGAAACAGAGGCCCAAAGAGGCAGTTTATGCCCAAGGTCACTTGACAGCCACATACAGAGCCAGGACAAGGAGCCAGGCTCACATGGCAGGCCAGGAGAAGAGAAGCCAGGGACATCAGAGCAGGGAGGTAGGGCTGGCGGGGGGAGGGTGTCCTGGCTCTCAGCTGTAAGCCATTATCTAAACAGGCCCCATTTCTGCACCCCCTGCCCAGAGTCAGAGCCGGGTGGAAACACTGGTGAGGGGCTGGCAGGCTGTGGAAGGAGGAAGCGCTCTGCACAAAGCCTCCTTGCTGCAGCCCCTCCAGCCCAGCCCTAACAGGGCGTGACACCCCAGGCCAAACAAACTGGAGAGTGTGGCAGCAGGCCGGTCTGTATCAGTTGCCCACCTGGCCTGGCAGGGGGTCCACCCTGGACCCAGCCCTCCCATGGGAAGACTCGGAGATCCCTGGAGTCAAACAGACCACCTCCGGTCACAGCTTCCGGAGTTTTCGGAGCAGGTGAAGCTGCCTGGCTTTTAGATCCGCCTTCAATGCCCTTCCCACCCCAGCCCAAAGCTTTCAAGTAATGTCACAGCTAACGGCCAACAGTCAATAAACCCCACTTGTTATGTGCCAGACACTACTCCACACAGTCTGCAAAGCCATCATCTACCCTCACAGAGACCCACAAAGAGGTGCTGTCACCCCCATTTTACAGATAAAGAAAATGGGGCACAGAGAGGTAAAGCTCCCTGTCCAGAGTCACACAGTGAGTAAGGGGTGCAGCTGGGGGCTCATCCCCGGGCAGCTGATTCCCAAGTCCATGCTACTGACCACTGCCTCCCTAGTAGAAAAAGTGCCCGCTCCATATCGACAGGACAAAGGATGAAACCCACACGATCCTATCAATAGGTACAGAAAGGGCTTCCCTGGTGGCGCAGTGGTTGGGAATCTGCCTGCCAGTGCAGGGGACACGGGTTCGAACCCTGGTCTGGGAAGATCCCACATGCGGCGGAGCAACTAGGCCCGTGAGCCACAACTACTGAGCCTGCGCGTCGGGAGCCTGTGCCCCGCAACAGGAGAGGCCGCGATAGTGAGAGGCCCGCGCACCGCGATGAGGAGTGGCCTCCGCTTGCTGCAACTACAGAAAGCCCTCGCACAGAAACGAAGACCCAACACAGCCAAAAATAAACAAATATTAAAAAAAAAAAAAAAAAAACAGTTATTCCTTTAAAAAAAATAGGTGCAGAAAAAGCATTTGAGCTAAAACTATAAAACGCTTAGAAGAACGCACAGGTATAAATCTTTATGACCTTGGATTAGACATGGTTTCTTAGACACCAAAAGCACAATGAACCAAAGTAAAAATAGACACATTTGATGTCATCAAAATGTAAAACTTGTGTGCTTCAAAGGACACTATCAAGAAAGTGAAAAGACAACTCAACAGAATGGGGGGAAATATTTGCAAATCATTTATCTGATAAGGGTCTAGTATCCAAAATATATGAAGAACTATTAACAACCAAATATTTAAAAGACAAATAACCCAATTTAAAAAATGGGCAGGGCTTCCCTGGTGGCGCAGTGGTTGAGAGTCCGCCTGCCGATGCAGGGGACACGGGTTCGTGCCCTGGTCCGGGAGGATCCCACATGCCACGGAGCGGCTGGACCCGTGAGCCACGGCCGCTGAGCCTGCGCGTCTGGAGCCTGTGCTCCACAACGGGAGAGGCCACAGCACTGAAAGGCCCACGTGCCGCAAAAAAAAAAAAAAAAAAAAAAAAAAAAAAAAAAAAAGGCAAAGGATCTGAAATGAGCAGTTCTCAAAATAGGACATATGAATGGCCAATAAGTGCGGGAAAGGATGCTCAACATCATTAGCCATCAGAGGAATGAAGATCAAAAACCACACCTATTAGGTTGGCTACAACCAAAAAGACAGACAATAACAAGTGTCCTGACATTGCTGGTGAGAATGTAAAATGGTCCAGCTGCTTTGGGAAACAGTCTGGCAGTTCTTCAAACAGTTAAACATAGTTCCAGTGCGACCCAGCAGTCCACTCCTAGCTATACAACCAAGAGGACAGAAACATATGTCCACAAAAAACCTGTCCAGGAATGTTCATAACAGCGTCATTCATTACAGCCAAAGAGTGGCAACAACCCAAATGTCAATCAACTGATGAGTAGGTAAACAAAACGTGATATGACCATGCAATGGAATATATCCAGCCATAAAAAGCACTGATTCATGCTACAACATAGATAAACCTTGAAAACATTCTGCTAAGTGAAGGAAGCCAGTTAGAAAAGCCACAGAATATATGGCTTCATTTATCCCAAGTGTCCAGAACAGGCCAATCCATAGAGACAGAAAGGAGACTGGTGGTTGCCAGGGCCTGGGGGGCAGGTGGAATGGGGAGTGACTGCAAATGGGAACATTCCTTTTTGTGGTGATGAAAATGTTCTGGGATTAGATAATTGTGATGGCTGTACAACTCTGTGAATATATTCAAACCTACTGAACTGCAGCTACACTTTAAAAAGGTGGATTTTATGGTATGTGGCTTATACCAATTAAAAAAGAAAAATAAGGAAAAAACCCCAGCGGTAGCAGCTGCCATCCAGCGAGCACTCGCTCCCTGCAGGGAAACTGGGCTAAATAAATGCTTCGGGTACACTGTCTCCTTTGATCCTCCAGAAAACCTGCAGAGACCCGTCCCCCAGCCCCGCCCCTGCCAAGGCCAGGGTGAATCAGAGAAGGATGAGGAGAGTGCTCACCCGGAGAGATCTGGGGTCCAGATGAAATGAAGAGACGAGACACTTCCAATGAACAGGCTGCATCCAGCATTAGGCCAGACACCCACACCTTTCCGAAATCTCAGGCTCTGGGGTCTGAGGTGGTAGCCTGGGTGATGGTAGGACCCAGCAGAGGTGGCCAAGGACCGAGTGTGACAAGAAAGAGGGGCCCAGGCACAGCGTCATGCTCTTCCTCCTTTATCCTAACTTGGAGCTTGTTGACCACACCCTGAGCAACAGGCACTACCAGCTGCAAACCCCACGCCCTCTCCAGGGTGGACCCGGGACCGAGACCTCCCTGATCATGCGGCCTGAAAGGCCCACAGACCAAGCTCAGTCTGTGGGGGTCAGCCTTGGGGGAAGGCAGTCCTGTGCCCGCAGGGCAGAGGCTGGAAAGGAACCTGTGTCCCTCACTGGGCTGCAGGCTGCCACACGGCCAGGGCCTGTCCCAACGCTGGACTCGGGTACAGCAGACCACGATGATTCTACTGCTTGACCGAATTTCTGGCTGCTTGTAGCCAAA